TTTTCAAAAACTTAAAATCACTTTATATTTTACTTACTTTCTTTTCTGACATCGTTGAATGTATCAGCGAGAGGGCGCTAGTTTCCAATCAAATAATTATCTACTATTCTACAACGTATTCCATTGGTCTTATCATCAATTACGATTTACCTCATTCTAATTGGCATATCCTCCATTCTCAATCTCCTATCATCCAATTTCCATATTTAGAGAGAATTTTAAAGCAAAATATCCAATCAAGTTTTTGATATCTATCAATCAAAAATTATCGTTCTTTGTTTTTAATCGAGAACAGTGATAAAATTATTTGTTTATTCAATCTTTTATTTTCTATGGCTTCAACAACAACTGACGATTCTACGACATCATCATCAAGTTTTGAAAAACGTCTTACACTTGTTAATAGTACTCAAGAAAGTGTTCAAACATTATCATTATGGATTTTATATCATCGTTCTCAATATGAACATTTAATAAAAACATGGTTTAAAGTTCTAAAAAAATCCAAACCATTACATCGTTTAACATTATTTTATGTTGCTAATGATGTTATACAAAATGCTAAAAAACATAATGCATTAGTTTATCAACAAGCATTTAAACCTTTTTTAAATTCTTCAATGATTTATGTTAAAGAAAATGGAATAAAAAAAAAAGTTCAACGTATACTTGAAATATGGCGTGAACGTGGTGTTTATGATGAAGATTTTATTGATGAATTATTAAAAAAGCTTGTTGGTACTGAAGTTTATGAAAAATGATTTTTTATAACGTACAAGCAGCACATATGGGTTTAGTTCTATCGTTTGCAACGTTTTGTTTTACGAAAATTTACAGTGGAATAATTAAGAATATTAACTTTCAATGTAGCTTCAAATAAAACAGCATCTACACTATCCTTATCGAAGAATATGGGTGTTTACAATGAAATTGAAATGCGATAATGTTATGACACTAAAGACCATATAAATAGTCATTCATTGTAGAATACAGTGTATAAGCGGCTATTTACGGTAAATAACGGTGATGAGTAATGATTGACTTAGGTAATTTTGTGTCTATCAAAAATTAAAGCAAAATATAATCGTTTGTTTAATTATTGATCATGCTAGGTTTTTTTACAAATTGACTTCAATTTTTAAGGAAGTAATCAATTAAAATATTCAAAATAGTATCGATGGAGATTACACTTTTTATATCAAGTAAAAAATATTCTTGAAAAAGAACACAGCTATTGAAACTTGAAAAGTTATCTTTTCCATGAAGAACGTGTTCTAAAATTGGGCGAATACACTCATAGACAAGACCAGTACACTCTGCATCTGAGAGATTTTCTTAGACGTTTTCTAAACAAGCACGTATGGATGGATTCTTCGAACTGGTGAGAATGTTTCAGATAATTTAACATTATTTCTAGAAAGACAGAAAAAAAGTATTCTCTGTTGTTCTTCAAGTCGTGGAATGTTTTCTTATAAATTCAAAAACCATTTTTCAGAGATCTCTCGATGAAATTATCTAGCTGCATTGAGAAAAGTATTGATTAACTTAGATGCTGTTCCTCCATGTTCTCAAATATAATAAGTTTTCGAAATAAGAAGATATTAGAAAAACTTCAGAGTTGCTCAGTGAACGAATAAATAAATACCTTTTCTTTCAATGAATATACAAAAAAACTTTTTATTTCATCTAAATATGACTAGTCACTCTTTCTCGTAAAGTTTAATTATAGAAATGAAAAATATTTCTCTAGAAAATCGTTATCCATCATTCTAAATTGTAATGATCAAATACTCATCCATAAAACGTGACAGCGTTTTTTTTCTTTTGAAAAGGAGACGTTTATCAAGGGTTGAAATGCATTCTTTGCAATTCTTTTCGATGAATGTTTTCCACTAAGTTTAACGAGAGTGAAGATAAGTTGTAATAAATGGTGTTCAAAACAATTTATCTTTAAGTTCAAGTATTGTACCATCATATGTCATGTATAAAGACAAATCTGACAATACTTTAAATAATATTTTATAGAACGCCAGTCAGTTTTTTCTCTTGTTAATCGGTTCATTATATTATAATATTTATCAAGATTTCATCGTACTGTCGTGTCATTATTCGATATTATTGCTATATTGAAAAACAGATTTGTTTATACAAAAGTTTTCTATTACGAATTATATTAGTGAGAGCGACACACCCCTTTTATATGAAAGTACATTGTTATTTATGATCCCTCTCATTTAATAGATTCGACATTTTACAATTATTTATCTTGGTACTGAGTATTCCTCGCGCTTAAATATTCGTCTCTCCATGATGTCGTCATTAGTTAAATAAATAAGATGAAATAAGTGATTACAGTGCCAGATGAGAACGTTATACTTTTTAATCTAGTCATAATGAATAGAGAGTTTATTATAGGCAAAGTAATTAAATGATAATGTCATCTAAAAAAAGTTAGCTTGATCTAATTGTGAAACATGTAGTTTTAATAGCAAATAAATGTTTAAAAAAAGTTGTTGGAACTCTATTTAATATTTATTTTTAAAAATACCAATTCAATTGAAACAAATACATAGTTTTTAATCATCAATGAAATTATTGTCCTTGGGAAAGTTTTTTTCGAAATCTGCAGTACACTTTGCCATACGTTCTGAAAAATCTCGATAGGGTAACAAATCAGCTTCTGCTTCTTTACGCACTTTCCTACAGTTCCATCGGCGTTTACAACCATTAACTTTGCATTTAGCAGTAAAACCAAGTGTAGTCAAAAAATATTTTTCTAATTGTTGTCGGCGATGTAATCCAGTTTCAGGTTTGTCTAATACAGCACGTCTTATCATATCTATTTTTGTTTTACACTCATCACCAATAATACTACTAATAGGTTCCCAAACATAACAATTGTTCGATACAACAAAATCGAAAGGATGCCAATATTGATATTAGACGGTCGAGTAAAGATAGCATTATTGATATCACCGTTAGATGTGTATGGAGTGATGTTTTTCATTGTAATACGAGGAAATTTAGCGAGCCATCGACGAAGTGGTAATGTTTCATTTGTAAGACGAGTACCATAGTCAAGTATAATTTCTTTTTCTTTTTGTTCAGCTTCAATTTTCATTTTAGCGACTTCAACTTGATCTTCTTGAATAAGTTGTTCAAGCTTTTTTGAATATGTTGCTTCTGTATAGATCGGTTGATAAAGAATTTTCATAAAAAGTTCCTTTTCTGATTATTCAAAGCAAATCAATCTGTTTGTGGGTAATATAATTTCACTTTTTTAACTTTCAAGATTGCAGTTCACATGTATATATTATAGATGCCTTCTGGTCATCATGATTCATTGTTCTGTTTTTATGAGTCAGATTTATTGATATTGTACAATAATACTATCTAGACATGTATGAATATTTTGTTAACGATGAAATACATCTCAAGTTTAAAAACAAAAAATGTTTTAGTGTTATTTATTTTATGAGAAAGAAAATGTGTCATACTAAAGACTAAATAATAGTAACATAAATCATTAGACAATATCTTTCTATTAATAATGATCCCTATTAATTGAGAATTATTATAAGTTAACAGATATCAATGGAATTCTAAAATTTATATACAAAATATGCCGAGACTTGAATTCAATCAATAGAGTATCTACATAGTATAATATAATTAACAATTGAGAAAATATTCATAATGAATGTTAAATTATATTACAAAAAAAGAAATAATTCGAAAAGTTCTAAAAAAGAGTCTTACCATCAACTAAATAAATATATTTCTTTTTCAAGTTTATACGTTCTTAATAGTCATAATGATGGAGATAATAAGTATTCAAGAATATTTATTGGGAACAGAGGATATATTTGGCTATTGTATTGATTCGTGATACTTGAAGCAATGTCGATTGATACGGTAGTTTTCATATCTCATCAGACTTTGTTCTAGCTATTCTTTAACAATGCTATTGTAAGGAGAACAAAATTCTGAAAAAAAAAACAGAAGAAACCGCCGTGTTTGCTATAATCTTTTCTTAAAAAGTTGAAGGCATCACGAAAACCGTCAAAACATGAAACTTTTTGAGAGAAGGTCATAGACAATGCGGCAACCAGAAATGTTGATGGCTGTTTTTTTGACTCGGCTCGCCGGGCTAACCCGCTGGTTGATACAAATTTCATTCGGAAAATATTTAGTTACAAATCGATAGTTTCGTTATTCACGCATTCATTTTTAATCATTTGTGAAACTAACATTTTTATAATTAGAACGTTATCTTTTATCTCTGAACATATCCCCCTGGAAAAAAATAGTTAGACTCGGTATTTTCGATATATTGTTACTATAAATTGACATTTTGGGGAAAATAATTATATATTCGGATAGCCCGTGGAATTATCTACAACTCTCACTATATAGATTTTGAATTGCATTTGTCCCCTGCAAATAAATTCAAGCATATTAAAGGTACCCTTATCGTCAGATTCCCCAAAAATTTATATATCATTCATTTTTTCATATTTATTTCAATATATAAACAATTTATTACAAAACTAAGTATATATTCTGAATGTACATCAAATTCTCTATCACTCCATACTTTCCTAACCGTGATTAGTTATTATTTGTTGACAAATATTGGGTATATTATTTATGTACTCTGGGTACTTCCATGGGAAGTCAACCATAAAAACATAAGTCTCCAATTTTTTTAAAACATCTCATTTTGTAGAGCTTTTGGCGCTGATCATTTTGGTAAAAAGGATTTCCTAATTTGATCAACAAATGACAATGCCAGAGCCAAAATACTGAAGAACGTCAAATTGCTCTAAAGTTCAAAACAATCTTATACCCTCCAGTATTTTGACTCTGGCANAATACCATTTATAATAAAAAGTAACCATCTTGGATGAACTTGTGATCGAATTGGTTCGATAAGATATTCATTCAAAGCATATTTCCATGTTGGTTGATAACGTGTACCCCAACAAAAATTTTCATTATCTAAATTCTTTTTTTCTCTATTTTGTTCAATAAAATTATATTGTAATGTATGTGTTAAATCATATGTATAACTAAAATAAAATCCATTTGTTAGATCAAGATTTTGTAATGCACGAAGATATTTATTTAAATACAAAAAAAGATTTCGAAAAGAATTAAATTCATATTGAATCAATTATTCTTACTTGCTTTCATCTGGATGAACTTTTTTTATGTCATCATTTGTTATACTTAACATAGCTGTTTGGGTGTGGGGTGTGGGTGTGGGTGTGGGTGTGTGGGTGTGAGTGTGTGGGTGTGGGTGTGTGGGTGTGGGTGGGTGTGGATGTGGGTGAAGAAGTGATCGACATTCGTACCCACTCCCACCCCTACCCCTACCCCCACCCACACCCACACATCCACACCCACACAGCCACACCCACACCCACACCCACACCCAAAACTCTTCTATAATGGTAGTAGAGAATTTTTGTGATATTAATGAAAATATAAAATTGGAATTTTTAGAAAATTTTGATTAAAAAATGTTATTCGTAATTCTAAGGAATTTACTATGTAATGTTTAATAGTACTGCAAAAAGCGAGGAGATCATGCAATTAACGTTATTCTCTGATTGTTTTTATATATTAACCATTTAGAAAAATAGCAGTATAATCAAATTAAACTTGATTTTTAATGAATCTTTTCATTCATTTAACTTAAAACCAGAATTTTAACCAACTTTGTCATGAAAAATAAAAACAACAGAAATTCAGTAAAAATTAGCTCAATTTTTAGTTACGAGACGATATCAATCAATTACAAAAGAAGTACATCACATTTTATTCTGATTTCACCATATCAATAAGTTTATCATTTATACAGAAGTCTTTATTGTTCCTGTAGTGTCCTGATTCTGCCTGAGAGTCTGAATAGAAAAATTATATTCGATTATATTTTATCTTTAGTTCATGAAGGTAAAAGTGTTCCGTCCACTACAGATAGTTTTACCAATCTCAAAGCGTGTATCAATGGATATATTTGTAAATTTATCTAGGTTTTGTAACAAGAGATACCTATATGTGTGAATGTCAGTGTTAGTTTTCTCTTCATTCTCATCCACATTCACATACACACCTTATACTCTGTCATAGGTAAAACGCTGCACTGGTTTAGACATACACGTATGGAATAACGGTGAAGACTGTGGGCACATGATAAAACTACGGTGACCATAGATTCATTTCGATTGTATGAGTCGGGCAGGTCTATTTCAAGTAAATAGCTTAATATTATAAAGTAAAGCATGACCAAGTCATAAGAACCAAGCATTTTCTAAACGAACGAATGAAACTGGAGAATTTCGATAAATCTTGTATAGATTTGAATTTCTGGACCTTGAAAAACTTTAGTCTACTTTCGTAAAATTCAGTTATTTTCTTGAAGTAGGCGCCCAACCGGAAAAATCGAAATCAATTCAAGACCACCATAGTTTGATCATGTGGCCGCCGTCTTCACCGTTAGTCTCCATTTTGTCTTTTTCTCGTATTCGTCACTCGTAGACGAACATTAAAAAGCTAGAAAAGATATCAATAAAACATATTACAATTCTGTCGGTAAGACTGTTTGAGTTCGGAAGGTGAAATAGTGTCCCAGCCTCTCGGCTACCTTACAGTATGGGTTGCTGCCTAACGGTAGATTCCATAGCTCATTGTCTTTTCTACAAACTAATATTAGCTGTAGCTCTGGGCAGACGCCCAGTCTTACGCACAGTGTGTTGATATATGTCATGGCTCGCTGCTCTTCTTGTTTTCTCTCTCTTCTTCCTCTCTCTATTGTTCTCCCTGTGTCGTCTCTCTTTCTTTGTTTCTCTATCATGTATAAGCTTGTGTTGAATGTGAAATAGATACACTCTGGATATGTAAAGTAGCTCAATAAACATCGTTACCGAGGGGGACGGTAAGCTATCCATCCAGTTTGTCGTTACACACAGTTCTTGCTTTCATTTGCCTGACTTCTCAAGACTCAGTAACCAACCATGTAGTAAACTATCCTTGCACAGAAGTTCCTCCCCTGTTAGAAGGTCTCCTCGGAGGAACAATGTGCCGGACGTAACAGAAGGCATTCCTTAAAACTTAGTACGCTTCAACATGATGGAAAATCTGCGGTCTTCTATTGTAGGAAGAGTTTAAGCACAAGACCAAATATATGTCACCATATTGTTAGCATTCCAGATCAAACTCACCCCATCGAATTCCTATCGGATCCGATGAAATCCAATTTTTTTTCCGATAGGATCCGACGAGATCCAACTGTCGGATTGTTCGTCCTGGGATACCATCGGATAAGTGATTCAAGACAAACAGCCATCAATGATGTATATAGGGTTATTTCACGGTTAACCATATCGAAGTTAGAACACAATATCGTGTAGATACGTGTCAATGTTCAGAAGTGTTATCTGTTGTTGTCATATCACTTTACATGCTCATCTAATTTCAAATAATATCTCATTCAAGTACATATTAATATCTTATTCGAATAAAAAAAACGATAAATTGAAAAAAAACGACATTAGCAAAAAGAAAAAAGTGAGTACCATTGCTGGATATGAATAAGAAAAAGCTAAAGAGAAAAACAGCAATGTTCTTGTCTATCATTCGTTCAGTGTAAAAGTAAGAATAAAACATCTAGACTGAAATCATTCATTCAATATTTTATCTCGTCTTAATTTTAAACAAGCAAGTACAACTTGACATTGATACATTGAACATTGTAATTCTGATGACATTTGATTAAGATCTGTTTGTACATTATTTCCAATAGCATTTAAACCTTGATTAATACCAGAAAAATAATTTGTTACAATTAATTTTGATGGTCTCATTAATGTTGGTCCAAAAACTACAGCTAAATTATCCAAATGCATCATGTTTATATCCGAATATTGACTAACACGTATTAAATGATCTAATAAATAAAATAAAATTTTTCGGTTATCAGGATGTAATGATTCAAGTGTTTTTAGTAATCTAAAACGTTGATTATCAATATCCGTTAATTGTATAGCATTCAAAAATTCTGTATAGAGTGTACTTGTAAATAATGGTTCAGGTAATTCAGAAAAAAATAATTTCAATAAATTAGCTGCAACATGCACATCTTTTTGGACTAACATTTCTTCACCACGATGATAATTTTGATCAAATGCATAACGAACTCTCTGTAAATCTGATGTTACACAACAAATACGATAGATACCTCTTTCTTTTACACCTTCATTCTCGACTATTTCAATACATTTTAATACTATACGAGGAATGCCATCGATACTAAAATAAGAAAACGTTTTTCAATATTTTTTCGTTCAAAAATATATTCATACGATCCATATGGTGTACTTAATAATTTTTCAATACTTTTCCCAAATACAGCAAGACTTCGTTTTGATCCTTGCCTTTTAAATGTGCCTTCAGGTTTTGAATATTTTAATGAAATTTTTAATTTTAAATCAGTACATGATGATTCAATTCTTAATATTCCATTTAGATCACGTTCACAATCATGTAACGCAGTTTCAATCTTAAATATTAGAAATTTTTTCTTGGGTAAAAGTTTTTTTTTGGTAAAAACATACATTTTGATGAAATTTACCAATACATTCTACACTTCGTGTATTATTATTAGTAGTAGTAGTACTTTTTGTTGTATTATCAATTCGATAAATAAGTAAACGAAATGCAAGTGAATATTCTAATTCAACTTGAAATACCTAAGACAAAAAGAAAGTATATATAAATTTGATTTATCTATCTATTTAAATATAAAATAAATGTCAAATGAAAAAAAAAAGTTCATGCAGAAATATCATAAAAGAATGTGAGTACGTTATTGGATGCTATTCAATTTGAAGAATAAAATAAGGTGGACATGTCAATGTGATAGAATTTTATTGTAGTTAGTAATGAATGAAATCTATAGATATGAATTTTGTTTCATAAGAATTATTTAACTTTTAGGTTGAATAATTAACAACATTGAATATAAAAAACCAAGATACTCGATCGAACGATTTTTCGGATGAGATTTCTTATCTTAGCAATTGATTTTATCAAGAGTAATATTCAGGTGTCATGCATTCCCTTTTGAGTCGATAAGTACATCGAGTTTCATGTATAAAATGTTCACAGTCAAATGAGACCCCTTAGGTGTTAAGATGGGTTACCTATGATTTTTATAGTGTATTAGGAGTTTGATCAGAATTCTTGAATTGAAATAATTTTGTTTTGAATATCAATGTTTTAAATAGCGCGTAAGGAGCCAAGAACGCAACATTCGGTTGTAGATTAAGGTTTCCATCTTGAAAGTTTATATTTACGTCATCGGAGACAGATAATCTACTCTAAAACACTGCTAATTCTACAAGACAATATACTCTCGATCCTACGTAACTTTTTAACTGTTAGATATTGCAACAAACGCTATCTTTGCCGATATTGTATTCATCGAGTTCAACGAATTGATATGTCTTCAGTTCACGAGACGGTATAGCTCTTGAGAACGGTCTCGTTAATATAAAAAGATAGAGACAATGGCTTAGATATAGGGCAATCATAAGGATTGGTATACCTTCTTAAACTTGAAATCTAACCTGATGAGGGAAGTCTCACAACTAATTAATCGCTTTTGAATCGGTAAGATGCGCATAATGTAGATTCTAATGAACTATGAATACCTTGAAAAGACTTTGGGGAATTGACTTTTTGCTACGGCAAAACTGCATTTTTACGATATTTTATAAGTCAATTCCATGACCCGCTTCAGAAACATAAGGAAAAACGATTTTTGAATTTCGAATATACAGAGACAAACTTTGATGAGAATAGTTCCTTGTGAAAGTTTCACATCTTTTCATTGCTCTTATCCTGAGATACAGTTATAGGGAAAGTGTGTCTTCAACATCACTTATACAGGTATACTTCAGTAGATACGATGTTCTTATTTCAGGATAGAAGCAATTCATAAGATCTAAAACTTTCACAATAAACTATTCTTGTGAAGATTTGCCTCTGTGCAAAGTTTGAAATCAAATTCGAAAATCAATTTTTCTGATATTCCTGACGAAGACCATGATATTCATTAAAAAAAATACCGTAATAATGCAGTATCTCCGTAGTAATAAGGCACTGATCCGAACTCTTTTCAGGATATTCATAGCTCATTAGAGTCTACATGATGCACATCGTATCGGTTTACAAGTGATTAATCAGTTGGAAGACTTCCTTCGTGAGACTAATAATTATATCAACATTCCAAAGCGAGAGTATGTTCAGTTGCATCAACGTTTTAATAGATCTCGTTTTTTTTTTTCATTTATGTATTCACTGCGAAATGCGAACACGTGATGCATAAGTTCTTGAAAACAAACTGGTGTCTAGATCTCGATTATATATCGGCATTAGATATGCGCAAGATGTTTCCGGTTCCGCCGGTATTGGGACTAACGCTTTTTCTTTGGGAGCAATATTTTTTATGATTGTGTACAACTTGCATCGAATGTCATATTAACACGATTCATGTGTTCTAAATATATATGAGCAAAATGGTTCCGGTTCCAGCGAAATCGGAATAGAGTCGGGCCCAATTATTTTTTTAGACCGGACTTAAAGATGACTCGTCCTGCTCATGTCTAGTCAAATTATAACACTGTGTCGTTATTGAGAAGAATTATTCATATTATATATTTATAGATTTTAGTGATTGCTTTTTCGAAATCTAATATTTCATACTTCGCCTTTAAATTCTACTGTTTCTTGTTGTTGCTTTGATTGTTTAGCTGTTTGTGCACATGGATAAAATGTATTATATGAATCAATTTCAACAGCAACATAAAATTGATAATTATTTTGTGTTGTAGATGTTAATGTTGATAATTTTTGTTGTTGTTGTATTGAATTGTATAATGCTGAACCATGTATACTATGTATTGTTATATGTAATGTACCGGAATATGTTTTACTTGGTTTTGGTATTGATGATGAATCATATGAATTGCATTCTTGTATATTGGGTTTAACAAGATCAAGACGTTTAAGTATTAAAGATTCAGTTAAACGTTGATGATGAGTATTTACAGGATCTAATAAANCTTTAACTGCGCTCAACAAGTTCTTGGTTTGTTTTATCGATTGAATCAATCCAATCTTGAAGTTGATAAGCAGATGAAAAAAGTATGACAAATGATATTGATGAACGAGATGATGATGATGATGAAGGAGAATTTGAAAGAATTAATTGAAGTTTTGATTGAGCTAAATTATATTCATTTTCTTGTTTACGAATAGCTTTTGATAAACGAGATGAAACGACAGTCTAAAATTAATAAAAAGAGAAAACATATATATATATCTATATATATTTAGTTTTTCTTTATGATTTAACTTACATGTGATTTTGATGTTTTCTCTAATTCTTTATAAGATGATCTTAAAGTTGATTTTAATTCATCTAAATTATTTTAAATAAAATTTTGTTTTCATTAAAGATAAAAACTTACCACTGGTATTAACATTGTCATTAGAAAGACTTTGTGGTATTGTCCAATGGAGATCAATCAATGGAATAAACCAATGCAGTACATATTTTGGACTAATCAAAGAAAGTTAGAGTATCATTAAAAGTTTTTTCAAAATTCCACTTTTATCCTTTCTGAACGCTATAGTTATTTTCTTGTAGAAAGTAATTTTAAAGCTATGCTAAATATTTCGCCTGCAAAATCGCTTTATGAAAGTCTCAGACAAGGTTTAGTTTATAAATTGAATACTATGAAGCAGAGATGACATTGGCTCAGATTTTTCAAAGTTTAAATCGAATCGAACCGATCCCATCTGTGCTATGAAGTAAAAAAGAAAGGAAGAATACCCCTGCCTTTCAGCTACCGTATGGGCATAGAGTACTGCCTAGTGAAAGATTCAATTAATTACTTGAGCTCCCCATACACGCTAACTAAGGACAAGAGCAGGTGTATATCACAGTGTTTTCAGCATGCTATCGAACGAGTGATTCGAAACAAAAAGCCATTAGTGACTGAACCAGAGTTATTCCATGGTTGGCGATACTGAAGTTTGAGTCCAGTACTTTATGAATATCTATCGAACAACGTAGCTACCCAACCATAGCGGTCTATGGAGTACACATTACTAAATGTGTAAAGCAAATATCGGAGTGATTTGGTTCAGTTCCAAAAAAAACACGAACCGATTCCCTCTATTGTGCAAAAACCAATTTAGATCAAAAAATTGATAATCGAGACTTTCTGGAACAATGTCATTCTTATAACATTAATTATCATTAAAACTTATCGATTTTGTGTATTTACCAATTTCGATGTTCTAATAGCTAAAGTTGGAATCTGATGGTTGGGACTATTCTCGAGTTATTTAACTTCTTGGTTCTTAAATTCTGTTTTGAAATAAATAGAAGTAATAGTCAAAGGCAGCTCTCTTAAAGAACTTTAATCTGATAGTTTTCAAAGGCAGAAAATGTAACTGACACGATCGTTTTCTACTAAACTCAGAGACAACTTAATTTATTATATTCCTGATGGTTTGCCAAAGTATTTGATGCAAATAACGAAATTACAAAATCAAATCAAATCTGACTTGTTTTGATTTGTTCATCTCTGATCAAATTTAGTTTATTATCGTCATATAAATCTACCTTGCAAGTAATTTTGTCTTTAAATAACAACAAACAATTGCATCTGGATAAAGAATAAGATGACAACGGTCACGATTCCCATGGGCACCACATGTAGCAACATCTTCATGTTTTAAAATAATTTTATTGATACTTTCATCTTGTCTACTCTAGATTGGAAAGAAAACAACTCGAGTTTTGAATTATTCATTATTTAAATCGATACATACACCAAATAATTTACATTTTTGTACATAATTATATAATTTCATTAAACTTTCCTGATCACTAGATTCGAATGATTGAGCAATTATGTATAAATCCTAATTATAACAATATTTTGAAGGTAACCAAAAACAAAAAATAAAATAGAATATTTACTTGAACTTGTGAAAGTATTTGAAGAAACTGTTTAGGAGGAATACACAAAAGATCTATTTATAATGAATATAGAAATTTGTTTTCGTTTTTTTTAATCAATTAACCCTCACTGGACACTCCATTATTATTGGCTCGTTTTTCTAATGCTTCTTTTACTGATGCGAGATTTAATTTAATATAGTCATCGTAGAATGGAAGTGTTTGCATCTGAAAAAATAAACAACAACCAACATTTCTCAGTATTCAAGATACTTAAGAAAATTTTAAACGAAAAGCAAGAAAAAAAGAACCTACCAATGCCTCAATAGCACGAGTTACTTGTTTAGTCAAATTTGATGGTTGATGATCACCTTCATTTAAAGATTCAATTTCTTTACAAACATTTTTATGATAAGAAATCAGTTGTCTGATTAAAGTTTGTAAATTAATTGAAATATTAATATAATATAGCTAGAAAAAGGAAAAATTTAAAAAAATTGATTTAAGATTTTGTTTACTTGTTGTTCCATTTTTTCTAATTGTTCAATATAAGTTTTTTCTTTTCGTAACCATTCTTGTACAGTACCCCAAAGTATTTTTTGTTGTCGTAACTAAATCACAAGAAAGATAAGTAAAATAAAGAAAAGTGAATCTTTTATACAATCAATTGTTTTTGTTGTTCTTCTTGTTCATTAATAAAATCTTCATTTTGTTTTCGATTAGTTATTTGTTCATCATCATTATCAATGTCATTTTCATGTGATTGATTATCAAAATCACTGCCATAATCTTCACGTCCTGTTCTACGCGATGATGATGCCTTTGGTGATTGATGGTTGATTAGTTTTTCTTGACTTTCATGTCGTTTTTCATTAGTTCCGTGTGATGATAATGTGTGAATATCACCTATAGGAATATTGAAGGAATAACTTATTTATTTTGCAATAGTGATTAAGACTTTAAAACAAACTAAACGTGGATATTTTCATTGAATTCACTGGCAAGGTTAACACGATTCATTATTATTACAGATTAATTGTTTTAAACTTTATCCTTTTTTAGCCTATTGATCTCGATTATCATCATGACAATTTTCTTTTTTCTTTCTTGTGTGTCTGTCGTTCTCTAGGTTCATTGTTGCAGATCGCTCGCAAACTGTATCATCATCTTTGTGATAAAAATAACGAGAGATACTCCATCATGTAGAAGTGCATGATCGATAGGACCGATTGAGCTTTTTCTAAAGATGAATTTCGCAGTATTGAATGTAACACACCTGATTTCGGCGGAGGTTTGACTTTCAATTTGGGCAAGGCATCATATGGCTCCGTTTCGAGCACGACATTGGATGACTCCACTTTGGGCTTGGACATAACTGGAAAGGTTCTGGGTTCGGATGACTTTGGCACATCTAAAAGACGACAACCAAATGTTATCATCATTTGTACAAGTCCATACCGACAATATGAAAATTCTCGGTTCTGCTCGGTGTCTATGCTGTGTCAATCTACTACGAATCGAGAAAACAAGAGCAACCAACCACTTGTCCAATAGTAGCGCGAGGACGGCTTTGAAAATCAACACGATCTTTAAATCAAGCAATTCTTTCTGCTCCAGGGACGCTGTGTCATATCTCAATCGCATTTGCTGAAGATAGGAAGATACGGTAAATTCCTATTTCCTGAAAATTCAAATGTTGACACATCATTATTCAATCAATAGTACAAACCCTAGAATACCGTTGCTAGGGTGCAAATTAATTATCTATGAAGTATAGCTCAAAATTGATTTTTACACAATCAATTGGAGCGATACAACTCGTAGTCTAGCGTTGGCTTGGGTCATGAAATTCATTTTAATAAGACAAGTATCTATGAATGAAGTGCATATTTTTTGGGGCTGATTCGGTTAAGAAGAGTATGAAAGCAGTTGAGAGTGTAAACGTGGCAGCATGTGGACGAAAACAAGAGCCGCACAGACACGAATACCATCACGCATACCCATATATCAATGTTATATAGTTTTCACTTTCATAATTGTGAGCTAGTCAACGTTTTATTTGAAATGCATTTGGAAAGTAGAAGAGAAACTAAAACAACTTCCTTTTATCGCTAATTACTAATGCTAATATTGAAGTTACTTGATGAAGCATTTGAGAATAGTTAATAGTAACAAGGTGGATTTCCCGATTCAACCCAAACCAAAAGATGTGCACTTCGTTTCTGTACACATTCAGTATTACAATGAATTTCTTGATCCAATAAAACCCGATCCAACGTCGAATATATACACTTTATCTCTATATACTTTTTATATTGAAATCAGTTTTTCCGCTTATCTCTCAAATGACTGGTTTCAATTTTCAATGAAAATTTTCTCATAATCATTTCATTTGCATTTCCTGGAAATAGGAACTTACCATATCATGAAATAACGCGACTAGACCGGATCATTCATGGCGCGAAAAACACGAGTACATCAAAAAAGCGTCGGATTGACGATCACAAGAAATCAGATGCTCATTTTCATTGTCTTAGGCAATCTACATCAGCGTTCGCATGATCACAGCGAATAACCAACAATGAAAAACAGCTAGAAAAGTGTTTGCTTATATTTGAACTTCAATGTGAAAGATCTATGCGAAACTGTGCTTACTCATTTGAAAGTAAAGTCGGACAACAAAAGATGGATTTAATTGTCTGACTATTCGAAGATAGAAAGCAGGCACAAGTTCTACAATGTTTACATGTGTTTGTATATAGGTGGGATCCAAATAGAAGTGTCTAACCGCGAATAGAAGGCTTTCTAGCATTCTAGAGGAACGAGTTCATTCTTGAATAAATCCTCGACGTATTTGATCAAAACGTCTGCTCATGTATTCGTTCGACATTATTCTTTAAAAAAAAGAAAAGAGCATTTCAATACTCTTCAATCGGCCTGTTTCAGTATGCACTAAATGAAAAAGAGCCAATTCACCAAGTTACAATATAAGGGTAATTCAAAGGAATACGTCTCATCGAATGATATGATAAATGATGAATCAACTAACTTCTTTCCAAATGTTTCATATGGCTTTATTTCTTACAAAACACATACGATACTATTTAAGTAAGATGTCGTTTATGGTGCTCTCTGAGGATGATGACTTTTTATGTAAAAGACTTAATTATTATTCATGTCATCGACTAAGCAATCGCAATCAATCATGGCAACTATTCACTATACCATTGAACCATACCTAAGACACCTGTTGAAAAACGAACAGGTTACTTCTCGAAAACTGTAGCTGCATATAGTCAAAGAATTTAGTCGTGAAAAATGACATATATGTTCTCTCACTCCTACTACCAAATGTCAACAAGCAAAGCAACAACTCTTCACCTTGCTGCATTCTTATCTTTCGTCGATCACACTCGGTTGAAACAGAACAAGAATAGGAAAAGATTACCTTTAACTTGAATACAGTCTTCAATAAATTGGATCAAGTCAGAGCTATTAGGTCGATCGTTCGGACGTTGCGCCCAACATTGTTCAATCACTATACGAAAAATCGAAGGTGTACTCTCAGGTATTTCCAAACGGTCACCGGCAAGCACGGATGCACGAATGGCATCATCCTGATAACTATCATAAGGTATTTTGTTGCTCGCCAGTTCCCAATAAACAACTCCTAAACTATAAATGTCGCTTTTATCTAAATAATCTTCTGAAAGAAGTATTTCGGGAGCAGTCCATTGCAGTGTACAGGCAAGCGTAAGAATGTGTTTCTTTTGAAGTGATGTTTCATTTCTTGTTCGAGCCACACCAAAATCACACACTTTCACAGTATACCCATCGTAAGCTCTTTCTAATAGGAAGTTCGACGATTTTATATCACCGTGTAAGATAGGTTTCGGTAATTGATGCAGGCAATTGATTGCGTTTGCTGTTTGCAAGGCTATTGACAACCGTACAGGCCAAGTCAATCTAAAATTATCCTCATGTAGTATCTTATACAAAGATCCTAAGGACATATATTCCATAACCAAAGCATAATTTCCTTTTTCTATGCATGCACCATAGAAATTGACCACATGAGAGTAATGAACACTGTCTATTATTGAAAGTTCTTGAAAAAACTCGTTCTTAGCCTTAGTAGTCAAATGGATCAGATGTAACTTTTTGACAGCAACCGTATTACGTCTGCTCATCCATGTAGCTCGATAGACCGTTCCAAAGAGCCCACGACCTATCTCTTCATGAAATTTGAGGTCGTTGCCAGATATTTGTAGAAAGTCATGGGCTTTGTCTAAATTTCAAAAGCATATATCAGTGGTTAGCGATGTTAATATCCTAGTAGGTCGTCAACAAATATTTTTCTGATGAAGCTACGTAGTGTGAATCAACTCTAATATTGTAAACGATTTGAACATATTTAACAATCCTTGAAAATCGTAAACTGCTGGACACCTTTTCTCTGTACACTAGGTAATTCGTCAGCTCTTCAAAGAAAAGTTTTTTGGCGCTATATTTTTCTTAAGAATGTGTACAGCTTTGAGGGTCGTTCAAAATAGCTGGGTACAGGAAGCGACGCGTAATGCACCCGAGTCGTTTCTACACATTCATACGATTGTATCGTGTATAGAACACATGTATAAATGCTTAAAAGAGACTACAAGAGTGATGATTCTATATGCTCCGAACTTAGTCAAATATGTTCGGAGGAATTTCTCCCATTACTTGTTTACTTCTGGTTCAACACTGAAACTATAGGTGATGGATCCATAAGACCGCTCGAGACTACTTTTATTTTCGACATCTGTCTAACCTACTCATTGAACTGAGACGGTGTGGGTGAATGTTAGTGGGATGTGGATGTTGGAATGGCTTAACACGGGAAACGCTGTCCACATCCCATACTCACACTCTACGCTCACACCCACAGCCACATCTACACCCCACCCACATGCACAGACACATCTGCAGTCACATTCTATCTTCTAATTATAATCATACCTACCATGAACTGCCATCTACTCGTCGTTTATTTCTTCGATATTTTTGCTTTCTTAACGGCGAGTTTTCGAGATGTGGACTTTCAAATTTGAATTTTTCGAACGTATTCTATTCGAAAGTTTTTCTTTGAAATCTTTTTTTCGAGATTTGGACACAATACCATTAAGAACTATCTGGAAAATGAAAGTCGTGTATTTTAATCTAAGAGCTGTTACATTATCTCATTGTTTTTGAGGGCTAGAAATTGAAGTACAAGAAAAATACACACGCCACACCTATCAGACGCTCTCGTTAAGGGCCCCATCACCCTCAGAAACCAACTTTGTTATCTTTCGTCCGATTTCACTCAAATTTTTCGGAGGATATTAGTCTAGGATAGGATAGATTATGAGTGAAATATCTCCCCCAAAACTCCAATAAACTAACGAGTTATAGTCAATTTATAGGTCAAAAGTACCCTGTATGCGGGCAAGGTTTTCACAATAAGAATACGAGCTAACATGCCTGGGCGACTTTTAGGTTGTAGAGTGCCCTTAGGGCTAGGTCGTGACAGGGCCCAATTTTTGAATTTTCCTTCCTTTGTTTTTTAAAAATCCTTTTTTTCAAAAATTCTTGAATGTATGGCCAAAAAAAAACATTGATGAAAACGAAAGATCTACGGTTTTTATTTCAGCAAAAAAGAAATTCAAAAAAAATCCGGCTCTGTGACGACGTAGCCCTACCTGTCTACTATACAATAAAAAAAAATATCAATTTCATATCGAGTCGTTATGAAGAAAAGCCTGCCCGCGTCAACGGCATGCCAGAAAAAACTGATTTTGAAAAAAACGAAAAAATAAGTTTTTAGAAACCTTATTTTTTCAATACGGAGGTTCAGAAAAACCTATGCAACATCCTTAAATCTCATCATAAAATCAATCAACTTTATTGCATTTGAGAGTAAACACATTGCTCTATCTAACGAGCTATAAATCACAAAATCAATAAATTTGACCAAAATTGACTTTTCTGAGGGGGGGGGGGAGGGCTGAAGAAAATGTTGGCGATATATGAAATAGCTTCAAAAATTCATTTCACGAAATTCATCATGGAAGAAATGAATATGAAACCGGGATTTTCTCTTGTGTTTTGTTTCAATTGCTCTGAGCGAGTTGTAAATATTTCTTTTAGGTTCTACTGTCGAAATACGATGTCTTATTGTTTTTCTTGGAACTTAAAACTGACTGAAATATTCCAGCTATGTGTGATACTTGATATATCATGTCACCTGATTGATATTCTCAATGAGCCACAAGAGAGACCTCAGATCTATTACTTACTTAATGGCTGACCACACAAATATATATTCCTCTCTAATAATCCATCGCTCAGAAAAGGAATCTGTTTTGATTTTGATTCTATCACAACTTCTCTTCTAACATCACGTAATATCAATTGAATGTCTTCATTTGGGGTTTTAACATGCTGCAGAAGATGTTTTGTAAATAGACCATTTCGTTGCCCTGTTCCTTCAATGGCTATGGTCCCCGGAGCACAAGCAAAAGCGATTAATGAACCAGCCTTGTGCATTGGTTTGAAGTCAGCTGATCCAGGATCACTTGAATTTGGACCCCGTTCATCTAACTTGGGATTACGTAGGTAATATTTCCTACAACAATCCAGTAGAAAGATTATTACAAATGGATCCCGATCACCTAAATCATTGAGTACATCTTGTGCATTAATTGCATTCCTGTTCAGATTTACATTATGGACATCGGGAATATCTTTTGGTAACAAATAATTTTGATCCTTAAAAACCATGCACAAAACCCGCATTATAAGACAAGCAAACTTCACATTAAAAAGGTGAATACGTACTTCCCACTGTGTTCCATGTCCAGCAAAATAAAATAAGACCATATCACCTGGCTGAATGGAATCTTCAAACTCTAGAAGAGCGCGTTTCATCTCAACACGCTTTAGATGAACGGCCATTGTAACAGCAAAACCAATATCTTTCAGTGCAGATGACATGTCATTTGCGTCATTTTCTGGATTAGATAATCGGTCAAAGTTTTCATATTCGCCGATGCCAATTACAAGTGCTAACTTGCGTTGCCTTTTATTCAAAGTATCGCTTGCCTGTGTAGCCATAGTCGAAAGTAAACGCAGTCTAAAAAGTATAACTGTCTTGACAAAAAATCTCTATATTGAGAAGGCAGAAAGCACAACCCAACACAACGTATTTAAAAAGCTTCAAAAAGCTCGATAGGCTGTGATCAGTTGCCTGTCCTCTTGAACTGAACGCATCACACAATCTATTCGTTGTTGTAACTGCTAAGAAAAGCATGCAAAGTTAGAATTGTATTCGAGTACTTTCGTCCTCAGCTAAGTCGAATAATTAACTTCGAATCCAGTTTGATGCACCTTTTTATTCTCATAATGTTGAGAACCACGACTAAGCTAGCGAGCTTGTTCAAAATCAAGGAATTCGACAGAAAATGAGACGATGTACTCTAGAGTTACACTATTGTGTACTAGTGATGAAGTCAAGAGTAGAGGAATTCTCGTACAGAAAGCACTATTTGTCGAACCCTAGACATACCAGCTAACGATTCCTTGCCTAAAGAAGATAGAACACTCGAACGACGCCGACCAGAAATAAGTCTAACTAGTGTTGATCAAAACGGATTGAAGCTTTGAATGTGCAGTTTCTTACTCAGGAGGATATATCGCCAAGTGTCTTCTCGTTTTGAAGCTGCACTCGGGTGACCCAAAGTTTCCATAACATGGCCTAATTATCGAATATCACAGCACAAGGGTGACGGTATTTTCAGAATCTTCTATTCACCCATGCTCGCATGCAGTCACCCATCGGCTGACCCATACTCACCCGCCCACCTACCTTCACCATTTCTAGGTTAGTCGGATCAACATAGAAAAGAATCATATTTTGCACGTATACCTATTTCGTGTCGGCTATCTTATCATGTTCGTTCCTGGATGGTCTCGTATATGCCAAAGACTGGTGTGAGTAGAGGGGTGTGTGGGTGAGCTTCGGTTTGTTGTTGGATGGTCGTTGAAAAGAAGAGTCTCTCTCTCGCTCACCAACGGATGAACACAGTCTTACCCTCAAATACATATTCGAAGATTTTTCTATATTTTCAGACAATACATGCAGCTCGATTACATATCTACAGTCACGTCCTAATGACATATCCTAATTTAGAATGGCCCTGTGAAATTCTACTTTAGTTTGAATAGAAGCAATGCGATTTATTTTGTTTTGAAATGATACTGTTTCTTACCGGTGAATAGCATACAGAACACTCAACAAAAGTGTATATTTTACCGATGCACGTTCTTTTATAGAGAAAGCGACGAGCACACTGCTTTTCGCTCTTGAATGCATCAATAAGCTTCTGTTTGCATCTCTCTTCGACATCACGAACGAAGAAACGCAAAGAGAAAGCAAACCTTAAAGCTGTCGCAACTACTCGCATGCTATTACGGCAGCAATAAAAAAGAACTGCATTTGTGCAAACTCAAAGTGTTGACATTGGTGACAGGATTTCTGTTGCAAAGAGGCAGTTGTGAAGTTGATAAGAAACAGAATTCTCTCTCGTTTATCTGCTCAAGTCCTTACTCCTGCTCGGACTGTTTTTGAAAAGTTCAAGACATTTAATATTGGTGTTCAAATGTCGCAAATCTGCTGTAAAAGGTCTACTAAGAACCACGAGGTTAGAAGAAGATCGATTTCATGGTATTGTCAATGAAATATTTCTTACACAAATTCAAATCCATTCGAGACGTATTCTCATAATTAGAATATAAAATCAATACACTTCGACCAGTTGAAATTCGAGATTTTTGACAATTTTAGGCTTTAAATTTTGATAAAATTTAAGCTTCTATGAGCTGCAAGTATCACACAGTTCCTGTCAAAGGCTATGTTGTTATAAAACAGTTGCTATAAAAAACTGTATACATTCGTCAGTTCCTATAAAAATTTTGTGTAGACACATTTTCAAATAACCGTGTCAAAATAGGATATGGGACTGTATATGTTTAGATCTGTCAAACAGTAGCGGAAAATAAATACATAGAATATAGAAGACATGAGAGAAGAAAGTACATGCAGCATCTAACAATTAACAATTTTTATTGCTGAATTTTCACTTTTTAATAGAGAAAAGGTAAATTAAATAGATTTTTTTATGAGTTAGAAAAAAGAACTAAATAGCAATAAGGTTTTGAAAAATAACCTACTTTATCTCTGACTCTTATGTAATAAAAAAAAAATAAGAATATGCTTGTTCAATCTTACTTCTACCTATTTAGAATCGTTTCCAGAAATAGTTGTATGAACAAATAGTAGCAAAATATTTCTACCGAATGAAGCATTTTTCGTTCCAAATTCATTTTACCTGTTTAGATATTATAAAAAAATTCTCATCTTTTTTATTAGTAATTCATGATGATAGGAAAGAAAAGAATCTCTTCCTAAAATTTAGATAAAAAATAAGATAAATATTTCAAAATACTTTAATTTTATGCAGGAAATGATAACAAATAGAAAAAGATTTTTCTTATGTTCTTTCGAAGGACAGTTTTTGAAGTTTGAATCACATTCTAAAGAGATGAAAATGTTCATAGAAAAATAAAATTTTGAAAACACTCAATTTTACATCTGCGTAGACAAACATGAGCAGGACCGGCCTTTTTTTTGCTTCCATTTTCAGTCAGAAGAAAAATTTCTCAATGTAAATCTTTATATAGACTGAAATGACAAACATGTATAATCTCTTCAACTTTATTTTATTAATACAAAATATGTAATCTGAAAAGCCACATATATTATAGATCCTTTCGAAGTATATATAATGAGCCTTATTCTCAATTCACTTTTGACCCCCAACAAGCAAAAAGAAGGAGTCATATGATAACTTGCTTGTTGCTAAGGTCGGTCTCTTTTCTTTCATCTATCTTTTTCTTTTTCAATCGTTTTGTTGAAAATTTTCAACAAAACGATTGAAAAAGAAAAAGATAGATGAAAGAAAA